GCTTTTTTGAATTTAAATGCGGATCTCATTAATTTATAGTTGAGCTGGCTAGATGTAGCTGTAAATTCTATGCTGTTTCTTCTCTCACACTTCTAGTTTGTGGAACTCCCTTTTAGCTTTCCATCCAACTTTGATCTGTAAAGATTTAAATGCAAGGTCAATGGCTGTCTACTGTCCACCTAATTACTATCTTCTCTTTCTGCCCACTATTAATGTTTCTGTCCCTAATTCTTCCACGCCCTGTAACCCCTTGTGTTTTAATAGCATTACTGCCTTACTGCTATTAACTGTATACGTCTTCACAAGATAAATATTTTTGAATAATATTTTATCAAGAACAAAGATAACTAATTAAATATAGCAGCAGTTTTCTCAGATTACGCTAGGACAGGTGTTCAAAAATTGGGTGTTGCTACACTCACCTGAGAATATAAGAAGCTCAAAGGTGAAGAAGGTGGCAGAAAGGAAAGAAACCAGCTTATGTGGAAGGAAAGGAAGTTGTCTATCATGGAGGAATTATTGCTATTTCAGGCTGTAACCCCCCTTTTCTCATACTCAGTGAATCACTTGAATCAGATTAATTAGTTTTGGATCTGAAAACAAAATCAAAATGCACATGGATATCCTTTACTGCCAATGTTCAATTCAGAATTCTCAGAGTGACTAAAATATCCCCTTCCATTCTAAGCTCAGTAAAATATGTTTAACTTTTCTGTTGTTTTATCCTTTCAGTAATGGCTTGAGAACTATAATAGATTCTTCAGAAAAAGAAATATAAGTGTATTGATTGTGTTTGGACAGAAATGTTGGACATTTTTTTTAATCATTTCACCCCAAACAAGAAAATAAAACCACTAAAATGCAAGGGGCTACTGAGTGTTAGAGAATATGAGAAAAACTAATATTAAGGAGAAAAGACAATAAAAGAACAGGATTCAAGAAAACAGAAGGTAAAGATTGACATCACATTTAAATTTAAAAAATTTTTGAAGATCAAACTTGACTCAGAAGCAAGAAGCCAGAAGTGAGTTCCCCAAATGAAAAGTTCAATAGAAGAAACTTTTAGCACAGAACTTATGGTCACATATAGCCATTTCAACTGTAAAATGCTGACAATCTGCTTTTAAATTCAGAAATTCTAGGTACCATAGAGGAAAGCTCATCAAAATGAAAGTATTTGCAGAAAAAGGCAGAGGGAAACTACATCACAGCAGTGAAAAAAATCTATGAAGCTGAGATGTCAGGTCAGGACTAATAACAATGCAGATTTGTCTTTGGATTTTATCAAGAACCACTAAATATACAGAAGAAGCCCCAAACCAGATGTGGCAGCAGAATTCAAAGACTGGATGAATGGTAGACTTATAAATACGTAACATAGATTTTGTCGAGAAAAATTGTGTAGCAACCTTTATTTATAATAATATTTAATTTTATTAATATATAATTTATTTATTAACAAACTTGATTTATGTAAGTTTGGATGAAGACCAAAAAAGATTCTTTGTTTCAGATCTTTTATTTAATTTTCTATAGTTCAGAGAATTTTTCTATTTTTGGAATAGAATTTGAATCTTTCAAGGTCTTCTTAACACTTTAGCTTCCAGAATCATTATCAAAGATCTTTTTGTGTGGCTATTGATAAGGTTGTGTCTATAGGTAAGCATTATGTGTTTTCGGTTGTTTTCAAATGTTGTAAGACCTACATGTGCTGGGTTGGTGTGCCTCATGCCAGGGATTTTCAAGTAGTAGGTCTTCACATATCAACTTGTGTTATCTTTTTTTTCTTTCAATAATGAGTTTTGGGATATATTTAATAATGGCTTATGAAAGATGAAAGTGATAAGAAGACATTGAACTGCTTATGTTCAAATTCTCCCTGGAAAACTAGAAAAATGGTCTAAATAATTAAAAACATCTTACAGAAAAATTAAGAAAATATTAAGGAACATTCATCAATATATGATGAAATATCTATATATGGTAATAGTAATATTAGCCATTTCCTTACAAGGAAACATTCAGTTGAAATTTAGAAAATCTTTCTACTAAAACAAATTTTCAAGAAATGTCCAAATGTTATTGCTCTTTCCAATATTAATGAGCACTTCTTTCTTAACTTTTTTTTTCTTAAGTAGTGTGGAATATCAACATCTTGATTATGTCTATTTTTTTCTTTGAGTTTTAAATGTGATGTCCATTCATTTTTAGTTGCTGCTGTTGACCTGGCTCTACTTATTTTGTACAGTGCTTTGTGATTTTGTAGCACCAGTCCATAAGGTTTGAAGAAGGATGGTCCTCACTAAGACCTACATGTTACATTCAATCAAAGGCATTTTTAGCCATTGACCTGAGAAAGTAATTCTATACAGCTGACAGTCTGTACATTTCTTAAAATTTCAATAACATCCAAATGAAAGTCTCCATCTAACGAGTCCATTTAAGGAGACATGACTATGGTTTTTACGTTAATGTTTTGATTTGTATTAATTTGATTGTTAAGATTGTGGCCACCAATAATGAATCCTGGTAGGACTTCTAATTTTCTCAGAATTGCCTCACTGTTTAGATTGAATAAATCTGGAAGATATATTGGGATGGCCAAAGATACATACCAGAAGCTAAGCAGAGTATTAAGAGACAGAAAATTTTGTTGGAAACAAAGAAAAAAGTATTGAACTGTTAGTTGATATCTGTCCGCCTGTATAGCAGTGAATGTTGGACAATGTCCTTAAAGATGAAAAAGAGACTTGAAGGAACAGAAATGTGGTTCTACAAAAAGAGGCTGAGGATACCATGGGCCTGAGCAACAACAAGGTTTTGGAGAGAATAGAAGCAAAAAGGAAACATACTCAGAAAGAGGCAGGTGAAATTTCTGGGGCACTTAACGAGGAAGGAGGGCTTGGAAAATCTGATACTCACAGGATGGATAGATGGAAAGAGGGACAGAGGAAAGCAGCATGTAACATACTTGATGGGCTTGATCAAATGACAGGGTTTGGGAGAAATAAAAAGCCAAAACCTATTAAGAGTAAAAAGGGACAGGAAGATGTGGAGATCAAAGATTTCTTACTTCCTGAATAGAAGCACATAAAAGAAGATGAACCTAAGGTTATCCCACTTTGCTAATAAAATAACCTTAATGCCACAAGTTAGCATTATATCCAGGACTAGAAAAGAAAGAGACATAAACCCTCTCTCTCATTTTTTGTTCTGGGATATCATAGTAACATGTCTTTTTATGTTTATTTCTTTTTTCTTGTCTATTTAACAGGACATCATTTTTTTTACCAACACATTGATTAGGACTAGTTTCATGATACCCCATGGAATTAAAGTTTTAATCTTCCTGATGAAATTTGTGCTCCTGAGGTTTCTCTATGGGTGAAACCTTGCACTGAGGCTTTCATACCAACATGGAAATAACAATTAAGACCACAATATTTTACTTGGCTCACTCTTGCCTGCTCAGCTACTGTAGCCCACAGGAACCACTTTTTCCATCTATATCAAAGTGATAGTTCTAATCATAACAGATGCCCCTTTGTATCTACTTGTGATGAGTCTAAGTCTGTCCTTAATGAGACAAAGTCAATATTTGCTGATAGAATGAGACACCATATAGTATTTCACAAGTTTGATTCCGGGGATGACTGCTGGCTCTGTGTTGAACAAGAATAAATCCTCAATCCTGCTTCTCTTTAATCAGTTTGAAGTATCGTTATTTCTTATGATCTTCAAAAATTTAAATGCAACATGAATCAGCATAATGTCTTTCTGAATCTTGTTCCTTTATTGTCCTTTCTCCCCACTAAAGTTCATTATACTTTTCAAGGATTGTTTATCATATTGTAAATAGATATACATCATAATGTAGTTATTCATATTCATTTTTTTTTAAACGTCAGATATAATTCCAGGCAACAATTTGCAACTTCTTGGGTTCACATTTTCCACTGATGTGAACTGCAATGATTATACTTAATCAATTGATAGATCTAATGCTAGGAAAGTTGAGTCACTATGTTGTGTCAGACAATTGTTCTCATCAGAATCTATCTTGCACATTTATAAATCTACCATTTGTCCGTGTATTGAATATTGCTGCCATATCTGGTCTGGTGCTCCTGTTATATATCTTGAGATTCTTAACAAAATCCAAAGAATGTAATGTTATTGGTCCTCACCTAGCATCAAGACTTTACCTTCCCACCGCCTAAGTTTTTCTCATTGGAATCCATCTTGTACATTTATAAATCTACCATTCGTCCTTGCATTGAATATTGTTGCCATATCTAGTATGTTGCATATACTATATATCTCAGTATTCTTGACAAAATCCAAAGAAGAGTCTGTGATGTTAACAGTCCTGAGCTGACATCTCAACTTCTGCCAATTTCCCACTACCATGACATGGCTTCCCTCTGTCTTTTCTATAAATAGTTTCATAGCAGTCATTCTAATGCTCTCTTCTTGATACCTCAAATACATGAATAAAGTCTACAACAAGATTGGTTATTAGGTCTCAACATTTTGCTTTTGAAATAGCTAAATATAAATGTATGTTATATTCTAATAACTTCTTTTCTAGCATTTCTTGCCTGTGGAATTCTCTTCTGATTTCTCATCACTTCTCATTTTTTCTACTCCCAGTAACTCTTGCATCTTAGTGGCATTATTGGCTTGCTTGGGGGTGAAATGATTAAAATATATATATATATATATATATATATTTTAATCATTTCATCCCCAAGCATATATATATATATTTTAATCATTTCACCCCAAGCAAGCCAATAATGAGAATTCTTTCATATATATATATATATATATATATATATATATATATATGAAGAATTCTCTAATATACCGAATTTCTTTCTTTTTAAAGTATTAACCACATATGCATTAACATTTGCAGCTCTTCAATGACAGTTTATTTTTTTTTTCCTTCATTATGAAATCATTTCTAAAGAGTTATAAAAAGGGAGATAACTTACCTCTTGACTCATGGAACTCTAAGGCAATATGTGCATCAGCACCAAGGCTGAAATAATTATTGAAAACATCCAATGGGAGTCGATCAGCTGCTCCTTCTTCAAGGGACTCTGGATCAGCATCTTCATTAGGAATCACCTCAATTTTCCATCTAAATGAAAATGAAGAAATAAAGACTAAAAAGTAAAATAAAACAAATATTTGAAGATTTTACAAACTGAGCTGGAAAAAAGAAACATTTTTTTATGAAGAAAACAGTTCAATGATTTTCATCCTTCAAATCAATCAGGTTAATTTGCTGAAAAAAAAAAAAAAAAAAACTAGAAAATGCTGAAATATTCCTTTGAATCATATTTCCAAATGGAAATGGAAAATAAATAAATAAAAAAAATAGCAATTGCTAATAGCTTATTTCAGTTGGATGAGATCAGATACTTTTCTGAAATAAACTTCTACACAAAAGAAATTTTTCAGGCAAAGAAGGTGCCATCCTTTTCATGTTATATTTGGCATTAGGGTGTGCACAAAATCAATTTACTGCATGAAGGCATAAAATATCCTTATTGCTAGATGCATTTACAAGAATTTATTTTTAAAAAAAGTCTTGAAAAAATTAAAATAAAATAATTTTATTTGAAAGTTGTTTTTGAAAAATAGAACGTGTGTAGTGAGTGCCCATGGTTAGATGTAAAATAAATGAAAGAATTGTCCAACAAACAGAACTGACAACATTTGCAATAAGCAATAAAAACAACAACAAAAAAGAACAGAAAAATATAAGCAAACAATATATGCAAAATAAATTAACAGTAATAAGGCAAAGCAATAGCAAAAGAACAAGAATTTAGAGGATAGAAGATGACAATTGACATTGTATTTAAATTTTTGAAGACATTTGTGATGTCAACACTAGTTGCCACTTCCATAATGCTCATTGTAGTAGAGACTTTGTAATTGTAGATATAACTATAGCAATGCTGTTCAACAATACAATTCTGTTGAATAACACTTGCACAAATAGTATTTGCTCAATAATACTTGCTTGAATAGTGATCCAAAAAGAGAAATAGTATAGTGAATAGAGTAGAGAATAGCGGTCCATATAGTAATAGAAGATAGACTAGAAAAAGTGATCTGAATAGTAATAGAGGATAGACTAGAAATGCAGATTGTTAGTTTTCATGATAATTACCATATATATATATATATATATATATATATATATATATATATATATATATTTCCTCTATGGTCATGTGGTCTACTTAATTCAATAATGGGATCATCTGTGTTTGCTCACCGGTGATCTATGTTCAAACCAAAGTGTTGGCAGCAACACTTTCATTCAATATTACAAAGACCAAATTAAACTGGGAAGCCAGAAGAGAGTTCCATAAGTTTAATAGAAGATACTGTATTTGCTCAATAATACTTGCTCAAATAGTAATCCATATAGTGATCCAAAAAGAGAAATAGTATAGTGAATAGAGTAGAGTATAGCGGTCTATATAGTCATAGAAGATAGACTAGAAAAAGTGATCTGAATAGTAATAGAGGATAGACTAGAAATGCAGATTGTTAGTTGTCATGATAATTACCATATACATATATATATATATATATATATATATATATATATATATTTTATCTATGGTCATGTGGTCTACTTAATTCAATAATGGGATCATATGTGTTTGCTCACTGGCAATCTATGTTCAAACCAAAGTGTTGGCAGTGACATTTTCTTTCAATATTACAAAGACCAAAGTAAACTGGGTAGCAAGAAGCTGGAAGAGAGTTCCATAAGTTTAATAGAAGATACTGTTATCATAGGACATACAGTTACATCTAGACCATTTTTATACCAGAAATGGAACTGCCAAATTTTTCTGTTCCACCAGAAGCAAAAGTCAAATTTTTTGCTGCCCAAAATAATTTCTTAATGTTTTCTCCAATTTTTCATAATTTGCACACATCTTTTAGATTTTGCAGAATTATTTTTAATACATTGTCATGATAGTATGATAACACCATAACTTGCACATTGGCCTGTGATTGAACATGTAGAAGAACCATCTTTTTAGATTCATAATCACTGTTTTCTGCCAGGTTGTTTTCGGCATGCCTTTAATACTAATTCCAGATAGGGTCTGTCTCAAAACATCCTTTTGTATTCTCTCATCAGATATTCTCAGGGTATGTATAAGTCATTGTAACCTACATTTCTTAATATCAAGGGATATTGTAAAATCTGATCTTAGTTTTGAGATTATATTTCTTATAATTAGAAAATCGCACACAAAGACGGCTTAATATTGCAGTTGTGAAACTTGATATTACTTTTCAGCTTGTAATTCTTGTATGTAGAGAGCCAGACAAATGGACTGATTAACATTGTAGTTATAAAATATGATTTTTATTTTGAAAATGTATTTCTTGTTAGCCATAGAAAAAGGACTGCTTTAACATTGATGTTATAAAACTGTCTTAGTTTTCAGCCTGTAATTCTATCAGTTTGAGAGCCATAGAAAAAGGACTGCTTTAACATTGATGTTATAAAACTGTCTTAGTTTTCAGCCTGTAATTCTATCAGTTTGAGAGCCATACAAAAAGGACTGCTTTAACATTGCTACTATAAATCTTGATCTTAATTTTGATCCTTTAATTCTTGTATATGGCCATATAAAATTGACTGATTTAACATTACCGTTTTAAAATAGGATTTTAGTTTTGAACTTGTATTTCTTGTAGTCAGATTCATGCTAAAAGAACTGCTTTAGTATTACTACTGTAAAATCTGATCTTAGTTTTGATTCTGTATTTATTGTACTTAGAGAATCATAGAAAATGGAAAAGTTTAACATTGATCTGATTAACATGATCTGATTTTTGAGCCTGTTTTGCCTGAAGGTCCAGATGTTATTAAGTCTGACCAAAAACCCCTCTGACTTTAAAATGAACTTAATACCATTTCATGCATCATTTTCAGTGTCTATGCAACTCTCCATCATTGATGACTGTTGCAGCAATTATGCATATTATTTGCATCTATTTGTTTTTGTACAGACCTGTTCACTTTTCCAAATTGCATCGATGATGAGACATTTCCTGGAGAGAAGGAGGAGTCAATGATATCTTTACAAGACTTTTAACAAAGATGAGATCATAAGGAAAAGGTATACTGTATTCCAAAAAGATTATCTTCAAATATTTAACATTTCTCCTTCTTTTACACACCATGTCTCTTCAGGTTGTGGTTGGTCATGGCTCTCTACCACATCCTGTTCTTTGTAATGCTAAACAACACTTGACTCTTTATCATACGCATTTGTCTCTGATCTGCAATATATTTGCATAAACTCACTATGCAGCTTACCATTTCCTCTGCTTTTCTTGCTTTCAGAATTTCCTGTGAGTGCTAGAATCTCCAAGCCCTCTTTTCTCATTTTAAATTATAGTTTCCTGGTAAATGGGTTGCTTTTCTTTTAATTTCATTAGTTCTAAGCTTATTTTCTTTCTTGAGTAAATGCCCCATTAATCCATTTTTGTACCTAACTTTGCCTTGCCATATATACAGGGTGTATCAAAAATACTTTTACAAACTTTGGGGTCAGGTTACTCACACCAAAACTGGGACAAGAGTCCATATAAACATATGTCTGTAAAATCTTCAGTTTTGAGTTATTAAGTTTAAAGTTTACAGCAGATACTGTGAAATGTATGATCCAAGATACAATACAAAAATACTTTTACAAACTTTTACAGGAGTAGCTATTAATGTACCCTCCATGTGGTACTATAAAATGTATGACATGCAAGGGCTAATACATGGATTATCCATGGCAGCCTGTAGAATGTGTTCTTTGTGGTCAAGCATATGACCAGATCTGTCTTCCTTGATCCATACTTTGTGGTGCCAAAGATTCTGTCTTAGTAATGATACAATAAACAGCAGCAAAGGTTGAATGATTCATCTGCCTTTGATCTGGAAGTGCAATCTCATGCAGCCTTGCATCCATATGAAAAAATCATATCTGCTGGCATATGATATGAATATCCTGCCATTGTTAGCTGGAACACTTCTCAGTTAACTAACTACTAGACATGTTAAATTTTGAAGACAGACAACTGTACACAAATGACAAATGTAACATAGTCTACATAGCAACAGAATACCATCTACCATAAATTGGTTAAAGATACTTTCAGATGAGATTGAAAGTACTGAAGAAAATAAAAACTATTTGAAAGAAAATTTTGGTATCTTTCTTAATCAATTTTCTATGGCCACCAAGCAATTAATTTATGGACTTGAAAAGATTAAAACTAAAATAAAATACACATAATACATCTAATTATTTAACCAAACTTTTTTGAATATATATATATATATATATATAAAAAAAAATAGGAAAGAACAATAAGATTTATAATTCAGAATTCTAAGCATTTATTTTTTTTCTTAGCATTTTTATTTTTAAAAAATAGTGCTTGGTACAACAGTAGGGCATAATATTATAATTGTTTTATTTTAAATATATAATCATAGCAACACCGAAATTCCCATGTTTCATTATTGAAAATTCGATTCAAATTCAATATTAAAAATTAAAACTTATAAAATTCCATTCCACATATAAACAAATATTTATTTTGTACCACAGAATTTATATATGGCTTTGAAAATGATGGAATGCATTCTTGTAAAAGGACCTTTTTCTTCCAATACTATTTTAGAAAGATTTGTTAGAACAATAATAATCAAGACAGAAGAACTGGAAAAGGTAAACACAAGAGATAAATCAGGAGCTACAATTGATAAATCACAGAACTACTTTGTAGGTAGGGTAAAGCATCCTTAATGAAAGATGAAAAATACTGGAATAGTATTAAATACAACATGCTGTTTTGACAGAAGAAAGTAGGAAGTAACACACGCCAATACCATATCAGCAAGTGTGATTCCCACTAACCAATCATGGTAATTGTAAATAAACTGGATAAAGAAAAAAAACCACAGGTGCCTTAAAACACTTACATCTTACATTCCACCTTATGTTTAACAACATTCTCCAGGTAACCATTATTCTGAAAAATATTATAAATGTTCACCAACTCCTCAATTTATAAGGTGAACATATCAATGGATGG